ACGCGTCCTAAAGCCCTGAAGGAAGCGGCTGGTTCCCTCCACAAAAAAGCAACGGGATTTCTCCAGAGGATTTTGGAAAATAGCTGGAAATAAGATCTGTGGAAAACAAACCTGTTTGATAAATGCACGTTTTGTTCAGCTGGATAATCTCCACATGTCTACCCTACTTTTATGATGTTCTAATCATAAATCTAGTCGCCAGAAGCAAAATGCTAACTTTATGCTATAAAGGAACTACAGCAGGGTCTCTGCTTCAACGTCACGCCAACTTCAGATCCATATTCAAACACACAGATTCAAAATGGAACAAGTTGAAGTGTTTGTTTGAACAGTCTGCAGGAGGCAGGTACTTGCTTTCAAGCGGAACAGAAAAAAACTTAGAGGAGTGTTTACGTGTTCGGTGTAATGACGCACAACGGCCTCGAAAACTTCTGTAGTCCTATTCAGCCACTTGTTAACAACCATCGTTTTTCAGACACGTAAGCTCTTCAGAAATCACCAGAGGGGTCACTGCTGATGGATTTAATGTCGTAGAACAAAACGTGATCCGTCTCTTTAATGTGTCTCAACCACAGACCTTATTTCCAGATATTTTCCGAAATTCTATGGAGAAATTGCATTGCTTTTTTGTCGAAGGAACCGGAAGTGGTAAAATGCTAACTTACTTCCGGGTTTTAGGAGGGGTCACTGTGGCACTCTATTACCCCCCTATTTAGGAACAATACTTTATAGCGGGCAATAACACATTAAACAGCTAAACAAAGAAGTCATACAAAGAATGAAGACAATGGTTTATTAGGGGTCACTACAACAGGTGCACTGACACCTGTCACATCAAAGGGATTTAGGGGCGGGACTAAGGGTTTATGGGGGGGTCATAAATCAATCACTCAACGTGTCATAAAAGTGGCACAACCCGTGTTCTTTTCACTACTGACTCGTTTCTCTTTGTATTTTTCATTTGAACTCCTTCCTCCCTCTCACCTCCACCACCAGCTGGTCGTCTGACGAGATGTCTTCAGTTTTCTGCTCCGGTTTGTCCGCCAGTTTTGTCGTTAGCTCCACTAAGACTCGACCTCGGTACGCCACGCCCTCCCCCTGACGGCAGAAAAACAGATTTAAAAAGTGCAAGACAACGTAAAATGTCAATACAAGTTTCCACAATAAGTTAAAGACCTTTTAAGAAAGCCTGTAGCAGACTCTCGTTCTCTCTGAGGTCAAATTCTGTGTGTGGAATATATGGACTACATTAATGACCTTATCCACCCTCACAGCACAGCCCGGGCCCTGAGGTCCTCTGGGCAAGGCTTCCTGAGGGTGCCCCGAACCAGGCTAACAACTAAGGGGGACCGTGCATTTGAGGCGGTGGCTCCAAGGCTTTGGAACGAACTCCCCCAGAAACTAAGAGCCTCTGTCTCAGGAGAGGTTTTTAAAGGGCAGCTAAATACTCACCTTTTCCGACAGGCCTTTGAGTTAGTAGCTGTTTTTTCATTGGTGTTTTCTCCTATGTTTTACCTGCTGAGTTTTATTCCTTTTATTCTACATGTTATAGTTGTACTTTGAATTGTGTATTGTGTACTGTATCCTGTTAAGCACTTTGTACATTTGTCTTGAGAAGGGTGCTATATACATAACGTTTTAATTAAGGGCAAAAGAGAGATATTGTGGTCTAATATGTATTACATAGCATATCTAAAATGACAAAGGACAAGCAAGAGTTTTATAGGTTGAAGAAAATCTAGAGGACTTTATTAAATTCAAGTCGTTTTTCAGGAAAATAAGCAGAATCTTACTTAATAATAATAATAATAAAGACATTAAAATGTAAAAAAATGCAGAATGTAAAACAGTAATAGACTAATTCTATATACCATAATAATGTTTGGTATGGTTTTTGGACAGATTTAATTTAAAACTGAAGAACAAACAAACATATTTACTTAACTTATTCAACTAATTTAATTATTTTAATTTTTTGTATTTACTTATATTTGTATTTATTTACACATTACACATTATTTTTTTCAAATATTGTTTAATGTATTAATTATTGTCTTTTGTCACGTACGTATTTTGTTGTTGTTGTTATTGTTGTTGTTGTTATGTGTCTTTCAATGTGGAAAATAAAAAAAACAGCAATAGTTAACAAAAATATATAAAATGAACGTTACTTTTCCGAGGTTGAGCGCCTCGTGTGGGTCGTTGAAGGCGGTGAATTCTCTCGGGCTGCCGTACAGATTCACGAAACACGGACCGAACGTGGGCAGGAAACCGAGACTGTCGTCCACTGGAGACACAAAACAAAACCAACATATTTAACCATAGCCAGGACAGGATGTGGAGCAGCAGAAAAGAAAGAAAGACTGATCAATTAGGTAATTGATTAATTGATTTATGACATCATGTGTACGTGACAAGGGCTTTTCAATGGAATCAAGTCAAGATTGGAAAACAGTAATGAGTTGAAAGGAGAAGAAGTTAATGTATATCATAAGAAATTGAATGAAAATGAACAGCTGGAAAATGAAAGTGATGGACGTACTGCCAGAGTGGAAGGTCCGAGTAGCCAAGTCATCTGAGTGCGTAGAGAGGAAGGATGGGTCAGAGTCAGACAGAAAGGAAACCAGAGGTCTTTGAACGCCACTCAAACCAAACCAAACCAAAACGGATGCATGAAACAAAAACAAAGCAAAATCAGCTGAACGACTTGCTTTCTGGTGGCTTTCTGTATGTATTACATGCCTGTTTGTCGATCATTCATCACCGTTCACATGATGTTTTCACAAGAAGACACACAACAAATAAAACTTGTAACACACACAAATGAGAAAAACCTGTGCATCTGGAAAAAAGGGCAACTCTTAGGGAGGAACTGGCAGTGGTCAGATCACAAAAACCACCAAGTTAGTCTTCATGCAGGTCACTGAGAGAACGTCCATGCTTTGGTGTGTTCACAAAACACAGATCCATAACCATCCAACATTTCAACTCCCATACAAAGAACTTCCACAGACTTCTAACTCTCAAATTGCAGATGGATAAACACTAGGTTTATCTAACGTTGTGTGTAAGATATGTCCTCCATGTTGCTCATGGAAACTGAGGATAACACCGTTTCTATTCTCCATTCATCGCTGATTCAGACGAGTCTAGATTCGTCACACACTTAATATAAGGAACAGACAATGCAAACACCTTCAAACCAGAAGGTCTGCAGTTAACTCTGACTATACACAGCCTCACAAAACTGATACATTCTAAAGAAAAGGCATGTTGGGTGGGTATAGACACAGATCCTGCAAAATGCAACTTCATATTTTCATGTGCAAGAAAGAAAACCTGCATCACTTTCAAAGTTGTGCATTCAAAGTTTTATGCATATCGAACGGACTTGTTTGTGCAGATGTGAGCGTCCTTAACAACGGTCAATAAGTCCTTGACAGCGGTCTGTCTGTTCGGTATTAACAACGTGTCACATGTTCTGAATTGACCAATCAGAATCGAGTATTCAACTAAGCCATGTAATAAATGCTATTATTATGCTATTAGTGGTATAAAGTACTTTTATTTCTGTAGAGCATCTGCCAACACTTCCTCCATCACTGATTTGTTTGTCTATTCCAGTATCTTATTTTGAAAGGAAGAGGTTGTTTTTGAGTGGAAGTATTATGCAGAAATGTGCAAAATTGTGAGGGAAATATAAT